GAAAGATGTCTATGAGTGATGCCTACTTTGAACATCCTTCTAATGTAAAATTTTAAGTTGAAGGCACAATAATTTTTTAGTAAAGCTCTAATAATCTCATCCTTTTTTAGTCAATTTTACTAATTTATGTTAGAAGGTTTTAGAACTTAGGCATCCAGTTGGATGATCAAAAATTTCCTATACCTCTATGGACTTATCACTATTATGTAGTTGGAACCCAAAGGGATTTGCCTTTTCTAAAGGGTAAAGTGAAGTCTTTCTTCATTGGGAAATCACTAGGTTAGGATGAAATGAAACAAAACTCATCTAAAATCTTTGCAAAGATTGATGACATTTATAAGATAATATAATATAAAAGAAGACATAATCAACTCAAGTAGTGCCTATTTCACTATAAGATAAAGAAGATTGTAAATTTTTAATCAGATAAAATTATAACATATACAACTACATAATCAAGAAGCTATATACTAATATTTTAGAAATAAATCAGAAGAACTTATTCTCCTCCAAAATTATTTGGCTAATTATTAGTTTGACTAATTTAGAATTTCTTTGTAGACATGATTAAATTACTTCGATCCTTATTTACACATCTATTTTTCATATGGTGAATAAAAGCTTCATTCTATTGAAAATGGCATGCAATTTAAGCATTCATTCTTGTCTCCAAATGTCAATCCTATAGTGATTTTGAATAGATTTATCATTCTTTTTCTACCTTCCAACACTACTAGAAAAGTATGAGAACATTTTGCTATTTTTTATCATTATTAAGGTGGTTAATAATATTATTTCTTGGCTCAAGAAATAGTTTGATCTCTCTAATAAGGTCCATATTTCATGCATATTGTTCTATTTCATTATTTAGTTGATGTTGTGGGATGGAAACTCATTCAAATATAATGAGAAGATTCTTGAATAGACCAATTTTATTATCATTTACAAGGAGATTGATTTTCTAAGAGCTACTAAAATTGATAACCAAGTTCAATCTCTTAGAACTTTAGGCTTTCATAATCACATTAACCTATCATTTTTCATGGCATTTAAGTTTTATCAAGAAACTGGGTGCATATTTGTGAGGCTCCTAAGTCTGTTTTTATGGATTATTGTCTTGGCTGACAGATGGGCAGTCTTAGCTATTCCCTTCGATGCATTTTGGTGTGATTTTCCATTGTTATGTTGCGACTTCAGATTAATATCTTTTTTGTGTTGGTATGAATGATGAGTATTATTCTTATATCTTTGAGTCTTGGGAGCCTAATGTATTTAAGTGTGCTTGGCATTACATGATGCTTAAAATCTTCACCCTTGGGTTTAATTTTTGTCTTCTTTTATTTTTATGTCATTCAAGTGTTCATTAATTGTTTGTATTATTATTCAAATCTTAAGTTGGCTTAAGACGTTGGTTGTCTCTTTTGTATTCATATGAGAATTCATTAAGCATGATATGGCCGCTATGTTTTCATCTTTTTGTGTCTCATAAGGTTTGAATTCAACAAGCAATTAAAGTTTAGTTTGAGACAATTTTCTTACTGCTTTCTAAAGCTGTTTTCATGTAGAATTTTTTTTTTTTAAGAAGCGAAAAAGCAGTGATCAAAAGTTGTCCCAAATGAAGCCAAATTTTAGCTCTATTGAATCAATTTTGTTGACACTCCAAATTTCATATGTATGGGATTCCAAGTTATCCCCTATTTATTGTAGATTGGATATTCAATGAGTCAAAATAATTATTTTTTAATAGTTATTGAGCTCATAGTAAAATCACTAATGTCTTACATGTCTTAATTTATGATTAGATATTAGAATAATTGCTTAATTTTATTAATATTTATTTTAATTATTCATACTAAAATCACTAATGAGCTCATAGTAAAATTACTAATTAATTGAATAATTAAAATAAATAAAATTTACTTTCATAATACAAATTATCTAATAGTTTAATTTTAAAAACAATAAAAATACAATTAAAAAAGTATTTTTATCAAACAGTTTTTTAATTTTAATAAATAATTGAGGAGGACAAAGAAGTTATGAAAGAAATTATTTCATGAATATTTAAATTTAAAAAAAAACAGTGAACTTTACGATAGTCATATGCTTATCGATTTTTAAATGGTTTTTATCTCTTACTTTTAACTAACAGAATATTTAAAATATATTTATATTCTTTCAAAAAAATAAATAAATAATTGACGATAAATAATCGTTCCATTCGGATTGCCCAGGAATTTGAGCACTGAGCTCCGAATTGACACGTGTCGGTTACGGGTTCTTGTATTTACTTTGAACCGGATCAGATAGCATAGCGATAAAGGTTGAACAAATGGCGAAGTGGTAATGCTACATAAAGACAGTATAGATGTGATAGGTCCGGACATCGGACGTAGCTCTACATTCGGACGTCAATAATATGTCGTCATATGCTATTATCCTTTATCGTGCGGCCCGACGACCCGACCCAGGTCGGAACCCGGTATTGCTATGTTCGGGTATTGCTAGGTATTACTCAGTATTGTTAGATATTATTCGGTATTGCTAGGTATTGCTTGGCAATAACGAGAAATACCGCTCTGTCAAGACCAATACCAAGCAATACCTAGCAAAACCGAGCAATACCTAGCAAAACCGGGGTATTGTTAGGTATTGCTCGATATTGTTAGGTATTGCTCGATATTGCTCGGTATTGCTCGATATTGGTCTTGACATATTGATATTTCTCGTTATTGCCGAGCAATAACCCGCAATACCCTGGTCTGCACAAATCAGTCAATACATAGTAATACCGGGCTCGGGTCGTCGGGCCACGCAGTAAAGAGTAAGAGCACGTGACAACATGTTATTGGCGTCCGGATGTAGAGCTACGTCAGGTGTCTGGACCTAATAATTTTTTCCTTAAAATAAGGGGCAATTATATAAATAATATTTAAAATTTGATTGTTAGATCAAGCATGAATCTTAATATATATATTTGAATAAGTAAATTTTGAAATAGGCTTATGATAATCTAGATTGTGTTTTCAATGAACTTATCATTAAAATCTAATTAGCCTAAAACATTATTTAAATGCTTAAATTGTCAAAAAAAAAAAAAATTGTTAAAAAATTCAACATAAACAGTCTCATGTAGTTTTCATATTTATAGTCAAAATGATCAAAATACTTTTTCCTTAAAAATATGTAAATAGGCTAAACTTCTATGCATTTGGAGAATGTGGGATGATGAAACGAGAAGGATATCATGTGTGCGAGTACCTGATGCCCACCGTTGCCAACAAACTTCAACGCTTATCATCGACACCAACATAAACACCAGTTGTTGTCAATAAAGTTTATGCCCATCATCGACACCAACATAGATGAATATCATCGCCAACAAGACTGACACTCGTTGATGATATCAGCGTTAATCCTAATCACCATGAATAAGATTTATGCCAATTGTAAGCACTAACACTAATGCTTATTGTCTAATGTTCGCCGTCAACATAAATATTTATGTTCATTATCTCCATTAGAGTCGATACCCTTTGCTAACACCAACATTGATGCCCAATATCACAAACATGGTCAACTTCTATCTTTAGCTGTAACTCTTACGATTGTCATGAACTCCAATGTTGATGCTTGTCATTGCCAATAAGTTTGGTAGTCATAATCATCAATATGGCTGACACTCATTGTTTCCAATAAGACTGACGCTTGCTATTACTAATAAACTAATACTCACCGTCACTAATAAGCCAAACACTTACCTTTGATGCCAATGACAATATATGTCATTGTTGCGGGCTAGAATATACGCGACGGTAGAGTTTATGAATTCGCGTCCGAGCGTTGCACGAATATTCAGCACACAAACAGAAAAGAGAAATGAACACCAAGGTTTTTACGTGGAAAACCCGAAAGTGGGAAAAAACCACGGGGCCTCGCCCAGTTGTAAAGTTCCACTAGTGTTTGTTTGAAGTACAAATGTTGATTCGTCTTACAAATCAAGACGATCAATTTACAATCAACTTCTCACAAAGTTACAAAGTTCTGCAAATTCATGTCGTTTCCCGAAAATCCGGCAGAGTTCCGGCGCCTTCAGGTGGCGAGAAAAACTCCAGCGGTGGTCGAGGAGGAGCTTCTTCCTTCTCTTCCTTCTTCTCTCTCTTCACTTGAGTCCCCTTCGTGAAGAATGAGGGCTCTATTTATAGTTTTTCTGGAGTGGCATGGCTTGTAAATAGGTGTGAGATCATGGGCGAATAGGGAGTGGTTTGAATGGACGGCCGATATTGAACCATTCGATCGTACACTGTTAGTTGGACATTTGAAGGTCTTAATGATGTCAGAATTCGACGATCTTGGTCTCGTTGGATTCATCTCGTCAAGCCGCTCAATTCGAGTATAAGCTCGTTAAAATCAGAGACCGTTTGGTAACTCAAATTGCGGTTTGAACCTTCTAACAACGCTTCGGGTCCTTGATTCGGACTCATTTGGGCTTGTATTGGGTTGAACTTGGTGTTGTTGGGTTCGTATTTCCAAGACGCTCAGTTTGACTATAAGCTCGCTGAAATCGGAGTTCGGGTGCTTCCGGATTTAATTTTTGAAGTTTTCGGGTTGGGTTTTGCATCGAGATTCGTGCCAAAGCAAGATAATTTCATTATAACGTATCAGTCATCATCAACAAGACTAATATATGTCGTACAAACCATCATTAAAATATATAACTTTAATTATCAAAGATTGAGAAGATCTCTAATAATCTTGTGTTGAATTAGGTTATTAGATAAAATAATAAATCAAATTTTGTTAAGAATTTTGATGTTTATGTCTGAGAATTTGAAAAATAAATGTAAGAAGGTGTTAGTTTTATAAATAATAAAATTTTAGGTGGTATGAATGTAATTTTTATATTAAAAATGGGGAATTAAACCGGCATAGATTGCAGCTTAAGTCAATTAAACTTTTAAAGTTTTTAACCGTTTTTATTTTCCATGATCTCTTGGTTTTCTACTGTCTCCTCGTAGTCCCTCCACCAGTGTCCTCTCTGCTGTCTTTCTTCTTTTGGAGGTTTTAGAGGAAAACAACAAAAGCGACCGCAGAGCTCTCCCTATTTCTCTTTTTTACACTTGATGGTGATCGATGGCAGATTAAGGAGAATCGGTTAATACTCGTTGATCTGCCGTTTCTACACCCATTGGCCTCTATAGGTAAGGCAAATCTCAGTTCTTGCCGCCATATGTGCTTTCCGTGTTTGGATTTTTCTGTGTGAGGAGTATCAGAGTCATGGTTTCTTGTTCTGATCCAGACCTCTGAGCTTCTATTTTTAATTAATGGTGGCACAGATCTCACTTTTATACCATTTTGAGGTTCGGGTGTGGACAAATGCGAGGTTTTGCGAAGGTAATGTGTGGAAATATGGGCTTTTGTTCAGTTTGCGGAGTAGTTGGAGTGGAAATCAGAAAAGATAATGCGGGTATTTTTTTGGGATCGTGATTTGGGATCTGGGCGCTTTATTTAGTGGTCTGGATGAGGAAATCGCGGTTGGTTGTGATGAAATCCGGCAGATTTGGAAGAGCGCTTGGAGTTTACTTGATTATGTGATTCTTTTGCTGCTAGTTGGAGATCTGAGTTCATTTTTTCAAATGGTTTAATTTTTGTTTTAATTTTTCATTGAATTTCACAGTGAAAGTTAGTTCTTAGGATGACTAGGTTTTATGAATGTGGCAATATATAGATTTATGGCACCTTATTTTCAATTTTTATAGGAATTGGAGCTGAGATTTGAATCTGAAAGGCCCAAATTATTGGATTTGATTCTCTACCTTTGAGTTTTATTTAGTTTTCCTTAATGTCTTCTAATTTTGAGTTTTAGTCATCTTTTGTTGGTTCTTATCGAGAAATAGTTTGTGTAAGTGATGATGTTTTCGGGGGAGTCTGCTGTTCCTTCTTTTAACCTGCTGATATAGAAGAATCAAGTGGATTATGACATGAGCTTTTATTTCTGAAATATTTAAAGATAGAATTTTAATTTAAGATTAGGTAAAAGTCAATAGAATGATAGCAAAATTTTCTTCTTTAGCATTCAGATTTCATACATGGGCTAGAGAGTATGTATAATGGCATGGTTTAGAGATTTTATTTGCTTCTCTTCGGTCGAAATTGTATACTCAAGCTATCTTGGTCCTGTGAGAGAATAAGATGTAGAATTTCATGCAAGATAAGAAAAAAAAAGGCTAAAAGGATAATTCTCTCATATAATTCTGAGAAATGCCGATTGGAGAAATTATGAAATTCTAAACTTCAAAATATGTACATGCTATGTTTAAGACATTAACAAGCCATGAAGAATGGAGGACCAGTGCAATAGAAGTGGTTGAATGGCTGATGGAGATTAATGCATCTAATTTCCCATTATATGCTTTTGTGGTCCACTTTGGATCTTTAATGGAGAATACTTAAGTTAAGCATACTAATTGATGATAAATTCATAGAGAAACCTCATTAGTAGCATTTTGTTTTTGCTGCAAAATTTGTTAGAAAAGTGGCCTATTCTTTATTAATCTCACTTCAACTCCTTTGCCCGATGATATTCGAGGACTGGGTTATGAAGATTTTTACTTGTTTTACTACTTTTATCTACTTATAAAATTGATATCGATTGCGAATGTCATTAAATTTTCTTTTGTAATAGTGTTTGACAGCATAAGTTGGATACTATTGTTTATTATCCTGTTTTATGCTCTTAATTGTTTTTGTTTGTGCTGTATAAAAAATAAAATTTAGTTTTTTTTAGTGTTTATAAATTTTTATTTTAAATTCCTTTTGGTTTGCTATTCTTTCCTTCATTGTTAGCCTTTAGCATTTTAAATGCTGTTTACAATTTTTTGTATTGTTTTTCATTATCTTATTCTTCTTAACAACATGATTATTGAGGTGTAAACATTCGTTAGTCATTGCCCCTGCCAAGCTGTGCTGTGTAAAATGGAAGATTGAATTACATTCCTCTATGAGACGATAACATTTGTTCTTGGGGAGAAGAAACTTAACCTTTTTTTTTTCTTTTTTTTTGAGATATTTGAAAGTGAAACTTGATGGGTTCAAGGTTTCCATCACATCAGCTCAGCAATGGCCTGTACGTTTCGGGCAGGCCAGAGCAACCAAAAGAGAAGGCCCCGGCAATGAGTTCCATAGCCATGCCATACACTGGCGGCGACATCAAAAAATCCGGTGAACTTGGGAAAATGTTTGACATTCCTGTTGATAGCTCCAGATCCAGGAAATCTGGACCTATCGCTAATGCTCCCTCTAGGACTGGATCATTTGGAGGTGCATCCACCCCCAGCTCTCTCTTTCACTTTTGTGGACTTTGATGCTCAATTGCTTTGTTTGATCTAGTTATTAACCCTTCCGTGTTTCTTTTTGCTGCAGTTTCAGGGTCTGGATCATCAATGGTCACCGGAGGTTCAGGCCGGCAGAAATCACATTCTGGACCTCTTAATAGACAGGGAGAGTCAGTGAAGAAATCTTCTGGTCCCCAATCTGGTGGTTCTAGGCAAAATTCGGGTCCCCTTCCTCCGGTGCTTCCAACTACTGGCCTCATCACATCTGGCCCTATTTCCTCCGGGCCGCTGAATTCTTCTGGTGCTCCTCGAAAAGTATCTGGTCCATTGGATTCCACCGGGTCAATCAAGCAACAGAGTTCATCCCTAGCAAATAACCAGATGGTTACAAAGCTTAGTCAGGAGGATGACTATTCATTCAAGAAGAGTTTGCCCAAGCCAATACTGTGGTCGGTGATCCTTTTATTTTTGATGGGCTTCATTGCTGGCGGATTTATACTTGGAGCTGTTCACAATGCCATCCTTCTTCTTGTTGTTGTGGTTATCTTTGCTGCTGTTGCAGCACTTTTTTTGTGGAATCACTGTTTGGGAAGAAAATCCATAATAGGATTCATTGCTAGATATCCTGATGCAGAGCTTAGAACAGCAAAGAATGGTCAATATGTCAAGGTCTCTGGGGTATGTCATTCGTTAAACTATTTTAAAGAAACTTCAATACTTTTTACTTGCTGCAGAATTTCTTTTTTTCTGCATACTTTTGATCCTCATGGTAATGTGTACCACTTTACTTGAGTTCATAATGTTGATGTTATGAACTGTTTTTTTTTTTTTTTTTACTTTATGAACTGGTTGTTTTAGGCTTCGTTTGGGGCAGCTTTTGTACTGCTTCTTAAAATAACTTTCTAATATAAAATTTTCTAATTCAAGAAATCTTTATACTAGAAAGTTGTTTTAGAAAGCAACAAAAAAGCTGTCCCAAACGAAACCTTAGTGTCTACAAATGTACATTTATGAACTTTCACTTTGTACATATTACAACTTGTTCAAGTTCTTATAGGTTGTCACCTGTGGAAATGTCCCTCTTGAAACATCATTTCAGAAGGTTCCTAGATGCGTGTACACATCTACAAGCTTATATGAATATAGGGGTTGGGATTCGAAGGCCGCTAATCCTCAGCACCGCCGATTAACATGGGGATTAAGATCGGTAGAGGTAAGCAGAACTGTCATTTTCATAGAGATTATCTTCCTGTGCACTTAATGAGGACCAGTTATGGAAATTGTTTTATATGGAATGATGCATCCTTATAGTGTTCTTAATATATTTGTACAGAGGCATGTTGTCAATTTCTACATCTCTGATTTCCAATCTGGGTTAAGGGCGCTGGTCAAGACTGGTTATGGCGCAAGGGTGACGCCATATGTCGATGAATCCATTGTTGTTGACATAAATGCAAACAATAAGGACATGTCACCTGAGTTCCTCAGATGGCTGAGGGAGAGGAACCTTTCTAGTGATGATCGCATGATGCGCTTAAAGGAAGGGTAATCTTTTGTCATTAGTTTTTCATTTCATTTCTGAGCTTGAAATTTTGTTTGCTATCTGAAAGTTGGAAGATAAATTTTGTAGGGGAAAACCATAAGAAAATGCAAGTTATCATCATAATAGAAATCCTGAATCATCATTGTTAATTTGCTCCCATAGACTTGCAAACCAAAATAAATAGCTTAGTTTGCTATTTTTTTTCCTTGTTGGATTTTTTTTAATAGTTGGCTTTCTAAATTCTTTCTCTCCACTTCATTTTTGCTGACCTTAATCTATTTGTAGGAGCTGTTTTTTCAATCGTCAACCATAATAGCCTTCTTGAGAATGATCATCTTATATCTTTTTTTTTTTTTCGGGTTAATCAATATCTTCACAATCTTCATCAAAACTAAGTGAATTTCTATTTATGATTTGTTCCCATGCATTTATTTGTATAAAGATGCAAAAAAATGTCATCTTTGAAAAACATTTGGCTTCCACTTCAATTTTATTTACATCTGGCAAACACAGTACCTTTAGATACCAGCTTTCCTTAATTGGGATTTCGGCCAAATTCCCCAAATCTTGAAATTGATAAAGATTTTTAATTCTCATATTTTCCTTTGGTTTTGCTTTATGTTGACAACTGTAAAATTATGCTTCTTCATGTTGAAATTCAAATATGAATTCAAATACCCAAAAAAAAGGGAAAAAAAAAAACATCTATCATACATGGTAAAAGCTATCTATCAAGCAGGCCAATCTTTCTGCAGTTTCTATCGTTAAGGATTGAAATCCTACTGTTTTAGTAAATCCTCTTTCATCATCATTATTAAATAAACCTGAATCCCACCCTTCACAAAAATTAATGCATTTGAGGGTTTCACCCTCATAAATCTTAAATTATGAAACAAATAATCAGATAGTATTTTACGATTTATCATGATTTAACATTTTTCATACCAAATGGTTTTCAAAGTTTAATATTTTCAAGCTTTACTATATCTGAATTTACAAGATTTTTACTAATTCTTACTCAAACTCTACAAAGTTAAATCCTATAAGAACAGCCAATAAGCACCTAAGAGCTTCAAATTTTGTTTTGTTCTCTTTTTAGTTACATCAAGGAGGGGAGCACTGTAAGTGTGATGGGGGTTGTTCAGAGGAATGAGAATGTGCTGATGATTGTCCCCCCATCTGAGCCACTCTCCACTGGTTGCCAATGGGCAAGGTGCATATTGCCCGGAAGCCTCGACGGCATTATTATTCGATGCGAGGACACTTCAAATATCGATGTCATACCAGTTTAGCAGTGTATCCTCTGAACTCCTAATCATTTCCTGTACTTTTGACTGCTGGCTGGGTTTGCTTCTCATGAATATATGAATGAGATATGATGGTTAAGATAAGTTAGTTGTGCTATCTGAAGAGTTGGAGGTGTTGATTATTCCTTTTGTTTGTATAGCTTCTTCATCTTACTTCTTTACTTTGAGTTGCTTTCTATTTTTGCTTTTTTTCAAGTGTTGGAAGGCTTTGTAACAAGAATGTCTTTGATTACTTGGCAAGGAAAACCTTCCATACTTGTGAACTTTGCTGGGAGATTTGTGTACAAGTGTTTGTGATAAATTGGATTGAATTTGGCTTAGTTGTTCTTAGCTTATGTTAGAATGATCGGCTTGATTTCTAATTTAATTAGATTTTTTTTTAAAGTCTTGTGATGAATTGGATCTGAAACTCAATTCTAATTAAAGTTTGATCAGGATATTATGAACCAATTTTTTTTTCTTTATTTTTTAATGAGTTAGGTGATCTTTATATGTATTAAGATTTGACTTTCTCTTGAGAAGGTCTGACTATTGAAGCTTCATTATGAGCGTGATTATTGGATCTACAGTTTCACGTTTTGTTTATGTATGGTTTGGTGAATGTCTTTGTCGCTACTAAGGGAATTCTGTAAGAAATTTTTAAAAAAAGTCTACCTCTTCCAAAGAGTAAAAACCTGAACAACCTCACAAAGGTATAAGATCTCTCTCTTCTCCATAATTGCAGAGAATGTTAAAGATCAAGTTATAGTTTTTGTTAGTTGCAGCAATTGATGAACTCGTAATGACAATGCAGGTCTCAAGAGAGAGAAATTATTACGTGCGGAGATTGGACACAGAGAATCGTCCGTTTTTTTTTTTCTGTTAACAGAGACAGAATTGAATAGTTCTCTGTGTCCGGTCTTCGCACATAATAATCTCTCGTGAAGAGGGGTGCTAATTGATATACAAACTACATAAATATATAGCAGTAAAGGAAAATATATCTCAAAGCACTGATGATTTCAGTTTCAACAAATCTGTAAAGGCCGACCACCTTTCTTGCCAAGGAATGTGCACTGACTGATCCTGATATAAGACTTGTTCTCAACTGTGGATGTTCAGCAGAAGCTGTCACTGAAAATTAACTTGGTGCATGGTTGTCTTTTTTAACTTCATAGAAATAATTTTACACTTGTATATAGATATAAATCTTTCATTGGGTTTTAATAGATGAAATTATACAATTATATTTATACAATCTTCTATCCAAAGGGTGGAACTAATCCCTCATTTAAAAATGGGTAAACTTATCATATAAATAAATTAATATTAAAAAAATGAATAATATAAGATTTAAAATAGGATTTTATATTTCATTATGATCGATAAATTAAGTAATACTTTGTTGGTTGTAAAAATCGAATTGGACAATGAACTGGAAGAAGGAGAGGTTCACGATTCAACTGGTTGAATCAGATGATATAATAAATAATAATATTATTAAAAATTAATTAAATTAATATAATAATAATGATAATCTAATCTTAAAAATTTCATAATTCTAACATTTTGAAACTAAAAAATAAATAAAATTCATACATATATAATATATTACATAATTTTAAAGT